AAATATATGCAAGCGTACAGATGGAAAATTTTCAGCAAAATTTGTTAACACTTTAGACCATAGATGTTATTTTTCAAGACTATCAAAGAGGAAGGAAAAATAAAGCTGTATGAAATCCGTATGAGATCAAGAAAAACAAACGTGTAATGACTGAGATAAGCATAATGACTTCGGATAGTTTGGTAAAATTTGTTTTCATTAACTCATTTCACATAAAAATCTGCGAAAATGTCTGCTCGAATGGAAGCATTTGGCTTATAAATTTCATTTAGAAGGCATAGACATAGGTGTCCAGTTTCTGTGCGGCCTTGTTTATGCTTTAGTTGTTTGAAGTGGACTCAGACTTGGATGACATCGTAATACCTCTGAAACGTAAATATGCGTTCAGTATTTGTGGTTATACAATATCAGGTAGGAGAGGAAAAATCACAGAAAAAAATGGGAAAACGGAGGGAAAAACACCTACTCATACGGTGTTTCTTTACGCCAAAAGTCGGCAATTTTAGGACGCTGCAAAAGGGCACATGCTATTTGCCACTCAAACTGCGTGGAGAGAGCCCACTGACCACACTTCAAATTTCTTCTTCTGCGTGACAAACGTGACGGGGTTCACGTTCAAAAGCAAATGAAGCATAGCTTATCTAGGTGTCTTAACTGCGACCAGACCTGTGGACCACTTCGAGCACCTACCTGTTCCATTCCCACCAGTAGGCAAAGATGTTCTGCCCCCAGATGATGACGAAAATAAAGATGCGCTAGAAGGGACAGCTACTGCTCTGATGCAGAATACGAATGTCAACGTGATGAAGCTAAGCAGCCACATTTGTTGACTTTAAGGGATTTTAATGACCTCGACGCACGCGACATCGACCTGTGGAAAGGCAAACCGATGTGCTTGGCCCCCGACGACGTGAGTGAAATTTATTGAACCCAGACACCAATTTGGTGGCACCCAGGAGGCGATGCAGCGACTTGGAATGTTTTCAATATGGAGGATCCCATTTCCTACTCTGCTTGCTCCTAAAATGAAAGAAACGTATGAACCCATGCAAAAGATCATGAGCCTGACCCGACACGAGGAAGTTTGGCTGGCGCTATGCTGCGATTTGAAGGTAGTTCGCCTGTTGATGGGGTTATAAAAGGGGTTTCAGCAAACTTCTCTTGTTTTATCTGCCTGCGGGATAGCCGAGATGTGCAGCAGCATTACCCTCAGCGCGAGTGACCAGCCCGTGACCCATGACGCTGATGTGAGCAGCGCTAATAATGCGTTACTAGTGGAAGGAAATGCATCGCATTTGAAGACATTTAAACAAACATCAGGTATGCTGGAATAGGCACATTTTAAACTTTTGGTATACGCTAAGTGTAAAAGATTGCCATGGACAAAATGTCTGTTTTCATCATGCTGCTTAACACGGCATTGTTCGCGTGACGTTATGCTGATATGAAACTAACCGTGTGTTATTGCCGCCCTTGCGCTGACTTGTAGTACTTTACATCCGCCGTGAGATGGCAGCAGGGTGCTTGCAAGTATTTTTTTGAGTATTATGGTATATGCCCTTGCTTTAACTTTTCTCACTGTGTTCTTTATATTTTTGATGATTTTAAGAAGTCATCTTGCATTCACGTGGTGAATCATGGCGTTTGTCTTAACTCATTCCATTATATGCATTCGTCCTGGACAGCTAGGGAAAATCTCCAACTTCTTATATAGATTAGTACAAAACGCGGTTTGTGATTGACCATCCGACCTTTTCACCCTCCTTCTTGCTTCATCCTGCATTTTCGCGACGCCCCGCTAGTCCGGCGCAGGCTACGTGCGTCAGTGACAATTGGGCCGAGTGGCTCCCTAGCGAGAGTGGCCCCGGGCGCCCAGCGCATACTGCGCAGAGGGGTCCATGCGCGAGCTTAAAATTGGCGATTGTCCCCTCAGTTGCATGTAATCCTGCCCCACCGTTATTCAGCTTCCTTCATCCCTTTACTCTTAAAAATCATTGCTGATCGAAAGGGCTCTAATTCAAATAGCCAATAACCAAACCGTGATTGAAAATTGCACAGGCTGTTCCACGTTGGTGGAGATACTTTTGACGTCAATAATATTTGGAAATCCTGCTCACAGACGTTAGATATGAACGGCTCGACGGCAACATCATTCTCGACCTTGAAAGTCTTATGATCTGTGGGATGACAAAATTTGAATGGTATGGCTATTGGATCATGCATGCCTGAATGGCCTTGAAACAGTCGTCACAAAACGGTCTGAACATGTTCATGGGCGTGTAGCTCAGAACCTAGAGCGTTGTAGATTTTAAGAAGGGCAGGGCTGTGAACTGCACCGAATGATCTTCAAAATGGTCTTTTCAGTTCAAAGCGTCATACAATGTGCAATACAGGTGTGTAGCACTCCCTTTAATCCAACCATGGCTCCATTGCCGCCCCTGCATATGAAGCTGGGCCTGATGACAACTTTGTCATGGCTATGGACAAGGATGGCGCAGTCTTCGCCCACCTAAAGAAAACTTTTACTAAAATTAGCGGCACCAAATTAACGGAGAGGTTCTTTGTTGACCTTCACATCAGGCAAGTCATGAAAAATCTTCAATTTGATGGATCTCTCAAACCCGACGAGCTGAGGGCGCAGGCCCCGTTTATGAACACATGTTGGGGTTTCCTGTGTAATTATCATAGTGATGGCTATGTGGACAAGATCCAAGAGTTGCTTTACGCCTTCCACCAACCTACTTGTTGCATGTTCCTCAAAATCTACTCTATGCATTCGCGTCTCGATCCTGTTTCATCGAACCTGAGTGACGCCAGCGACGAGCAGGGAGAGTGTTTCCGCCAAGTCATTGCAGTGATGGAAGAGAGATACCGTAGCAAGATGAACACCAGTCAGATGGCGGACTATTGCCTGGAATGTGGTGGGAGAAGGTACAGGGGTTGGGGGCACATGCGGGAGTTGCGCAAAGGGTGTCCATAACTTCTGTGTGTGGTTTAAGATATAATATGGATGTGAAATATTTCACTGATATTCACTGCCACAATCACAAGAAATTTACCGCAGAAGATAACCAGAAATGGAAAAATGTCTAGACGGACCGACGCCCCACAAACGAGCGGTTAGGCACCCTTCGTGCCATCATCGCTAAACTGAAATCCCCAGTTTCAGAGCAACTGGACTCGATGGAGCAAATCCGAGCTCATATTGCTCATCAGCCTCATTAGTTGGTTCTTGCACAACCATTTTCGTTTCTGAATCAACAAAAACAAATATGATCGTTTTGTGGTGTAAATCATCATGCGACTCTTCATGCTGCTGTGTGTGTAACTGTAACTGTAACTGGTAACTGTGTGTGTAAAAAATTGGAAGCTGCATAAACAAAAGGACTCGGAGTTCGCCGGAAGTGATCGACTTTCAGTTTGCGAGGAGCCACGACAAAATTCTCGGTTTGCCACATTGATGTAGGGCATTGTACTTGCAAGTGGACAGGCGACCTTCAAATAATAAATTAAGTGATGTATTTGCTGCCCAACACGACATTCATAGTGTTTTCATACATGCAATTTGTGTAACTGCGCCACATCTGTAGTCTGCGGCAGGTTTTTTAGGGGGTCATTGGGGCAGGCTTGGCGGTGTGTTTCGCCAAATATATATATATATATATATATATATATATATATATATATATATATATATATATATATATATATACGGATATACGCGGATCCGGATCCGCGTGCCATCCTCCTGCGTATGCTTTTGCCTAAATATATGTAAATACAGAGAGAGAGAGAGAGAGAGAGAGAGAGAGAGAGAGAGAGAGAGAGAGAAGGAGAGAGAGAGAGAGAGAGGAGAGAAAGACTCTCTCTCTCTCTCTCTCTCTCTCTCTCTCTCTCTCTCTCTCTCTCTCTCTTTCTCTCTCTGTATATACATATATTTAGGCAAAAGCATACGCAGGAGGATGGCACGCGGATCCGGATCCGTGCCACAAAAAGGTCGGATCTCCAGCAATGGAGGCAACGTTATCAGAAAACTATGAAGGGTGTCCATTTTTCCGACATAAGCGTGATGAACCACAAATACCTTGTTGATAATTCCATTTGTTCTTGTAAAAACATTCTCATATCAAGCTTTCATGATCCGTTTTGCAGTGCCCCGAAATTGGCGTAGACTGCTGGGTTCAAGCATTCATATCACAATTCCACTCTTTGGAAGGAATCACCTCGCTGGCTCGCCTTGTTTCACAGGACCCACTTGGTCATGAAAACGAGAAATTAAGAGAAACTAAGAAAAATGCAAAACTTATGAGGCATTGTTTCTGCTGCTATATGTATGGCCTCCATGAGGTTTTCTGACGCTTTTCCTGACGTAAGCTTGCCTTCCCTCCCCCTACAAAAACCCTGTGTGCGTCCCTTACAAACCAAATTCAGCTATCTCCAGGAATCCGCACACATGCGCGTTAGTGCAGTCGTCAGTAGTTTTCGAAACGTAGGCATACCAAGGAGAAACTGCATGTATATATATATATATATATATATATATATATATATATATATATATATGATAAGAGTTATCTATTTCTATATCTTCATGTTTACACACTAGGCCAAGTCAAATGTACTCGTGGTGCGGTTTCGGCAGGCTTAAGCTGCCTGTTTACAAACAGCCACTCGAGCTCACCCCCAAGCCGCCCGCTATGCCCTGGGAAATCTGGGAAATCGGGAATGGGTGTAGGTTAGGTCAACCTTATCGGCACAATCTCCGACTGATTTTAGAAACTGATGCCTCTGCCTGGACCCCACTGGTTACGTCCATCTGTGCCATTGCGTGGCAACGCGGCAGAGACAGCGGAGGGAAATGTCTCAAGAATGGATGGCACCCATTTCGAAGTCGTTCATAAACACACATCACCACAGGGTTAAACTTTAGCACTCACTAATATGTTCTTTCCCTTCCCCCATGCTACTGCTTCTATGCGATGTATCTTTGGCTGCGGCAGATGCTGTTCACCAGAAACAGGGGAGACGTCAGCGTGTGTATCGGTGAGATCGAGACCTTCATCCGTGTTCACCAGAGCGCCGACCTCACCAAGTCGCCCGTCTTACAGGGTGAGTGACGTCAGAGAAACATGTCAGAGTGTGTGTGTATGTGGGGGGGGGGGGGGGGGGCTACTGCTGCGTCTCGATAGTTCGGACCGGTGGCTCAATTTCATGACCATTGTCTAGGTTTGAAAAATTCCTAACTGATTTAGGTCAGTTCCCTGCGCAGCAGGCGATGTGGTGACGTGGTTAGTCAGCGTTGGGCGCAGAATTGATGACGCGGTTAGTCAGCGTTCGGCGCAGAATTGATGACGCGGTTAGTCAACGTTCGGTGCAGAATTGATGACGCGGTTAGTCAGCGTTTGGCACAGAATTGATGACGCGGTTAGTCAGCGTTCGGCGCAGAACCGCATGTTGGGACAGTGGTGAACGCCATCAGGCGATTCCTCAACCCAGCGTGGACATCGCCCATCCTCACTTTGCTGGACTTAGGGATGGAAGGCAAGGGAGGATGTGCCGTGCTGCCCAAGACGCAGGGAAGGGGTGAGATGTTCTCCCTCCAGGTTATATTCGTGCCCAATTTCTGTTTTTAGGTGCGATATTTGCAATACCCCCCCCCCCCCCCTCCAATATGAGCTCGGCCGTGCGTCAACGCACGCGATGTCACACATCGAAGGCGGCCTGGGTTTCAGACTTCGTCATCCACCAGTTACGGGGCCTGCGAGCCAACCTGACCGGCCTGGGTCCGCTCAGCTGGGTCATCAACCGGCTCCAGAGGACACTCCTGCACACCTTCCGTATGCACGTGCAGGACTTCCTGCAGGTGTGCGCGCAGGGGGCGGGACCGAGCACGTGGCCAGTGTGTGGGCGCGATCACCACGGAGCCGGCGGGTCCGTGGTGACTCTCACTGAAGTGACCTAGCTCTGACTGAAGCACGTCAGAGTCAGCCTGCAACACGCTCTGTTCTAATGGCGTCTTGTTTCTGCACGCAGTGTACGTTAGAACAGATGGGGCCCCAGCCGCATTATACTTTGGAGCCCATCAAACCCATGCGTATGGATGCGACCCTGGCCCTGGAATCGCCGGTGGTGAGCAGGTCGTTCAGCCGTTAGCCAAGATCGCGCCGTTTGGCACTTAAGGAGCAGCTCCTCTGGAGCATTGCTATCGTTCCATACGCCATGCTAGCAGTTTCGTTAAGGGGAGTGTTCCAAATTTGTGTGGAGTTTTGAACTGGGGCAGCGATTGTTAAGATCACCCGGCGCAGTTCGCACCACTGCCCTTCTTAAAATCCTAAACCTTCTAGTCTCTGAGCTGCACGCCCACGAAGATGTGCAGGCTATTTCGTGCGGACAATTTGAATGCCAATTAGGTATGCATGACGCCATATAAACATCATTCAAATCCTGCCACCCAATAGACCATGCGACGCTCAATTTCATGATGAATATAGTCGCCGAGCCGTTCAGGTATGGCGTTCGTTAGCCCATTCTTCAGGTATGGTGAACGTTAATTGGCTTTCGGCAATCTTGGGCAAGCTGTTTAAGTTTCAGTGCCGAATCACGTTGTGTGTTGCATAACATAAGAAGTGTACATGGTCACTAGTTATTACGGGAATAAGACTCGTAATCGATTAACTTAAAAATAACGCCATAACCGAGTATGCAAATGCAAGTTCTTAAACTCACGGATACACGTGCAAGAACACCATAAGGAAAAGGCCAAAACCTGAGCATATAACAATGTTTGCTTCATTTAACACCTCCATCACCGCCACGGCCACCCCTGGGGAGACTGAAGCTCAACAAGTGAGTGTATGGGGGAAAATTTTGCATGGTAAGCTTACCAGCGTAGCAACGCCCCATGAACGTTACACGACGTAATGAAACAAAGACGTATTTGGGACTGTACGTACTAGATAGAGAAAGTGTGTTGTCTAGAGCTGTCTTTCCCACTCTAAAGTACACCAATGCTTGTAAGTGAGCTCATTTTCGTACATCTGATGTTTGTTTCAATGCCTCAAATAAGGAACATTTCCTTGCAAAGGGTGTTCTCGCGTATTGATTCGTGAGTTTAAAGCGTTCACATGCAGTCACCTATTTGGTTATGACGCTATTCTTTACAATGACGATTCGACAGAAACCATATTTCTGCGACAACTGGTATGAATGTCCAATTTCTTGGATTGTGTTGCACGAAAATGTATTATTGAAGCTTACGCAGTCTGCATGATATTGCTTGCGAGCCAAATGATGTCCATTATAACGAAAATCATCCTTGGCGCTAACTGCGAGATCCGCACGGAAGTTTGTATATATATATATATATATAATTATAATATATATATATATTAATATAACAGATTAAATATATATAATTAATCTATATATAGATATATATATATATATATATATTATATATTATATATATATATATATATATATATATATATATATATATATATATATATATATATATATAGTAACTATGTCAGCATGACCGGAAAAAAACAATATTTTCTTTTACTCATGTCTGAATAAAAACCACCGTAGATTCCGCATTGGCAGACTTATTGATGCATTGTTCGAGGTTCCGGACTTTTGACTTAATGGCATCGTTGCGATGAAAGGTGGTTCGAACAAAGTAATTCAAATATTTTTTGACACCTGTGCATTCCAACCTTTTGAGACCCATTCCCATCGTCGGAGAAATATAAATGGCACAAGTAAGAAGCTTTGATTTTTCAAGGATGCAAGTTGCGCATTGCTATCCTAACACGCGCTCCAGTGTGGGGTCAAATTGACCCCCCGGAGGTTTTCTCGGAATGGTCTCCGATCAGCGCCGTGCAGCAGCGCCAAATTTACGCAGCTGTAGATAATTGAAAATTGGATCGTTTGGTTCACAAAATTTAGATGTACCTTGAAAGGTCGCTGACCTACGGCAGGTAAAAGTCAGCCCATGGATTTAGCGAAGTCAATTTCTAAGGAATCGTTCTATCTGATGCAATAACTGAGTGTTAGATGAGGTCATACATCTCTAAAGTGTCATTCTTAGGCAACATAACAGTTGAATGAACAAATTACATTGAAGTAGGGTCAGGTATGACGGTCAGACCAAGGTCAAAAGCAGCCTGTTTTTTGCTTTAGGGTTGCTGTATGGGGAAGTTACAGGTGCTCATTTTGAGTTAATTGATAACAGGAACCATCATTATACGTATTCTAGGAACTCCTTAAAGGTCGGTATAGGTCACGTATCTAGAATGGCCCAGGTCGACATTTTGCTTTTAGCTACAGAATACGTAGCGTAATCTTTGTCGCTTATTTCATTGCAAAATTCAACGCATTCTTGTATGATTTTCATCACCCTGGCCTTTAAAAGGTCAAACATGGTATCTGATCTTAAATGAGCATGTGGCCTTTTGCTTAGAACATTTTTTAGGTTCTGGGGGCACTTTGGAGACCAGTGAGGAGTTTGGCCTCGTTTGACCTTATTTGGCCTGAAGGTCATGACCTAGGAACACCAAACTTTGACCCCAGCTTGCGCGCAGAACAACACACCTTATGAACTTGGTTTCTCTAACCCTCTTATTTCCAGGGATCTCAGGGGGTGAAATTGACCCACACCCGAGCAATGAGTATCCAACCGGCCACCCCGACGCTTGTTAAAGGAAATGTTTCACGTTTGAAGATATTGATATAAGTGTCAACATGATGAAGCCAGCTCACATCTAAATATTGCAATACTTTTTAGGTGGAAAAGGCTGCTCTAGATAGCACAGTTCTCTGTTTAGCAAATATGCTCCTCAAACCGTCGTGGTTTTATAACATCATCCTACGTTACACAACGTTGGTTGAGAGCTAATTGACGGTCGTTATATCTGAAAATCGCCCCAGAAACGCCAGATATGAAAGCCTCAACAGCTATGTTTTTCTTGGCATTGATCGCCGCATGACTTATGCAATGTCAGGAGTTAAGTGACGTTAATGGAATGCCAGGAGTTAAATGACGTTATGATTATGCCATGAGTGCCTAGGTGACTTTGAAATGCCCTCTCCGATATACATTTCCCCATTTTCGCGGGCCCGTAGCTCAGAAACTAGAGAAGATTAGGTCTTAAGAAAGGCAGGATTGTAAAATGCACCGAAAGGTCTTCAAGATGGCTCTTTCAGTTTTAAAAAGCCCGCATAGGTGTTGAGCACTCCTTTTAAGGACATCTTTTAGTGCGGAGAAGACACAATTCCTACCGTCATTTGGATACGTATAAAATGCATCCGTAATGAAAACACTTCTAAGACAAAGCCACAATCGCATGCACAGTACCTAGCGCACACCGTGAAATGCTCAAGAGCTGTTCAATATTTTTTTCCGACTGGATAGCACTCATTATATATGTGGTGTTCCAAATTTGGAGGCCTCCTCTATCATTGCACGTCCGAAGAACTTGCCAGTTGTCCGTCAGTTGTTTTATTGTTAATGTATTGTCATGTTCATGTCCTATGTGCTCTATACGTGCCGCATCGCGTAAATATCACGCGGCGTGAGGATATCGTTATGTTTACACCAATGAATGGGATGGAGCGGAGTTTGCAACTCTCGAGATTTCATTGGAATTGACTCTCTATATCGATGCATTTAAGCTTGCCGGGTTTGTCGGGACTGTTTTTCGTGATATATATATATATATATATATATATGCATATATATATATGTATATATATATATATATATATATATATATATATATATATATATATATATATATATATATATATATATATATATATGCACACATCGCGTAATGTGAAGTGTTCTTTCCATCACTTTTATCATACTAGCACACACCATTTGTTTGTCTTTCTCCAGAAATGAGACGGTATCTACATAACAACTATTGAGCCCTGCTGCAACGTTCAGCCAAGGCACCCGATGTCTTCCACTGTCACAATCGACGAACCTTCCCATACTGTTGTAAAGCCATGTAATCCCCACTTGGAATGTTTCCAAGCGTTTAGCATAAGTTAGCGTTGTAATGTTTCAAAAATGTTCGACTTAAACCCGTTCTGTCCCCCGAATAGTTATCTGACCTCAAGCGTCAAAAGTACGATGTGGTCGCTTCCCACGATGAGGAAACCAAGCTTTCCCGTTTTTGAAGCTTGCTTGGTGGAGACTTGTGCGGAGTAGCTTTCTCAAGCTTGATGCCGGATCCCCACTTGTCCCCCGGTAATGTTCAGACAGCCCCACGTTTACCCCATGCCTACCCGCAGGAGAAGGTGCACTCCCTGATCCAGGAGGAGCTCAACAAGTTCAGCCTCGGTGACATCACTATGCTGGACATCCTGGCATGACGGCAGCCTCCGGGGGTCGCCTCGCAGGCAGCCGCGTCGCACGCCTGAAGAGGTCACCGCCGGAGGGCACCACTTTCCCGGGGAGAGCAGAACGGACCAATGGGAGACGACGCTGTGCGCTCGGACACAAGCTCCCTAACAGAACTCGAAAGCGACGCAGTTGTGACGTGACCAACGCGAAAAGACAGAGCGGGCGAACCCATTGTAAACCGCCGCGGAATATCGTCCGCCAATCGGAGGACTGGGTTCACGTGACGTCACATTGGCGCATTGGTGGCAGACCCAGACTTTGCTACCCTCTCGAACATGACCCGTGTTGAGGTGGCGCAAGAGGCGTGCGACGGTCGAGGGGGACCGGACCTTCGAGCTCGACGCGACCATGTGACGCACCGTGACGAGGCACGTGACCTGTGAAGCGTGCAGGCGGTCTGGAGTGCCGATTGAGGCTTCGCCATATCATGCAGCGATACGATGACGACCGGATGAGCGGGGGAGTTATGCACTTCTGACAGCATGTTATGCTCAGTACTGCAAGCACCTCTAATCGTGTTGCGATTTCTGGAAACAAGCGGAAGAACAACGCCTTAGTACCTGCGGCTGCGTCGCTTTCTCACTACAAGTTAATTCGCTGGGACTGTACGTTTGTTTCCAAAGCTGGATATCGTGTTCAGTGTATAGGTGCAGGTCACGTTATTTCACACAGCATTCGTATACATAGATGCTTCTTTGGTGCTGTTTCGATCTACCAAGTCTGTAACCTCGTAGGCTGTCAATTATGAACGCAAATCACGTGCTCTGCAGGAACGTCCTCACAGAGCATGTTTGTATGGTTGCTTGCACGCCGACACTTAGTCACGAGCAGCAAGGTTATTGCAAACAATATCTCAAGAATTACAAAGATCCCTTCGAAATTCATGTTTCGGGAATATCCACACATGCCAATTTCGGGAGGTTCCAGCGCAAGCATAACTTTCCAGGAGGACCCACACCATCACCAGCCACAAATCAATGTCTACATACATTCAATGTCAACATAAACAACATGCATGCTATTCAATACGTTTTTAAATACATGTGTACTGTAGCGTGGCAGTGGGAAACGTTTCCGTCGTGGCATTTTTTAGCGGGCTTCTGGGTCTTGCGAGCAGAATGGTGTATATCTGGGATCTCTATGACGCGACGGTTGGCCGTTAACTACCCTTGCATCCTTTTGCAACTTTTTGCAACATTTTCCAGAATTCTGCTTTAGGCTGTTGTGCCTTGCCAAATAATCGAAGGTTACCACCTTATGGCGCCGTCTCGATTCGTTTATCCATAAAATGCTCTCGCGACAGTCTGCAAACTTTGGCAATAATGTGGGAAATTCGCCCTCAGGATCTTTTATGCCTATCGAGAATACTTAATGCGGTTTTAGGGTGCTATCGTGATTTTTTTGGCAGTGAACTCCTCTTGCAACATTTTGCAACCTTTGTAACTTTTCTAGAATCCCTTCGTACGAGCTCTGGTGCAATGGAAAACCACTAAAGAGAGTTTTAGGACTGTAGCAGATTTCTGACTGCTTGCGTGATAGTTTATGCTAGTGGAGATCACGCTCGTGCCAATTCTTCTAGCGAGTACCAAAGAGAGATCTTGTCAAGCAAGGCTTTTATTGTTTGGTTACTTACACTCACTAGCACTCACACGACAACGCCCACACACACAACCGACAGCGATCTTGCGTCTTCGAGCCGGGAGAGAGCATGAGCCTCCCATGGGCACCAATAGTACAGTTTATATACATTGCGGGTCGGAACTGATTCATGGTCGTAGGGTCCAGAAACAGCGTGATGTTAACCGATGAGAAGCGAGTATGACGTCGACGTCATACGTCACGACGTCACGAGACGTCGTCCGAAGGTTGCCTAAATCAATCAAAAAGTAGGCATTACCTTGAGATCCCAGAGCTAGTTGATGCAACTGGCAGGTGGTGAGTCGCTGGGGGTGACTTTTTAAAGGGAGTATCGGACAGCATTTCGAAAGCCAGGCATACTTCAGGCTCCGATGGAATGATTGGAATGCAGCCAGTGCACGTGTCTGAGCTTGAACAAAGGCGCCTCACGGCTCATGCAGTCACATGCCACCTGACAGCGGACGACGGCGGTAAAGGGCTTAAGATAAGAATGCTTGAAGGTAAAAGTAGATTTTCTTACAAGGATACTAACTTGCTTCGTTATGCTCATGACCTTTTTACTTGATGCTAGGAACGTCATGTGTTCAGGCAACCTGGCCGTCTTGCAAATAGAATTACACTCAGTAATTTGCTGCACCCCGTACTGCTTCCGCACTAGATGCAAATGCTTATGAGACACACAGGTGCTTCGATGCTCGGGATGGATGGCGATGTTGGGACTAGGAACACAGTAATATTGGCAGGAGCTCTTTTTTCCCCTGCTACACCAGCTTGACACGACTTGAGTAACGAACGCCCTGCCGAGCATCCCGTCTACTCCCCCAATCTGTCTTCGGGCTCAACATAAGCTGACTTTAAATGAAATTAAACGTTGCCCATACCTCCTTAGACGCCGTTGTATCCAATGGTCCCTATAGTTCACCGACTTGCATGCAATTTCATGCATTCGTCCCCCTAACATAATACGCTGCATTTATTCGTCGCATCGCTAATCAACTTTGGCCCGAAAATTTTACCCTACCACTCCCCTCCAGTGTCACACATGGTCGGGGTGGAGCACTGCTGCGTGATGCTTCAAATTTAGTGTTTAGGAACACACGTTTGCAGTATTCATTCCACCTCATACCGACATCTCAGGCCCTTCGCGCAAGGCGCTCGGGTTTATTCGGGTATGGGGGGGGGGAGGGGGGAGGTGAAAGCATATCAAGAAGCGTCCTTTCCCGCCAATACAAGGGGCTCTCGTCCATAGTATCGTCCAGGCAGCGTCCTTGCCCCTAAGGCGGGCCTGCCCTGCACACAGGAAATTCTTGGGTGGAATCTTACGCTGTCTTCGCCGAACTCATGTTTCGCAGACGTCTTTACAAGAAACATGTGAAAACTGCGCCGAGTCGCACCTTCGACAAAGTCTAGTGGGCACCGTTCCTGTTTTATGAGAGCCACCGGAACGTTGATTCCAGCTTCACCCGGCACAGAGCTTGACAGCAGCGCACAGCTGATATATTGCTAACCCGTGACGCAGAGTGGCATCCTTAGTATCGCTCAGAATGGGTCCTGCCCCTACGGAGATCCCGCCTTTCCAATGCCAACCCGAAAGAGATTTACTGGCTGGGATTTTATGCCGTCTTGACCAAGTACAGCAGCTTTCGCAAGCGTCCGTACGAGAAACCTGTGATGACTACAAGTTGCACCTTATGAGCACCGTGTCTGAATAATGGAAGCTTCTCTGGCTGGCGTCCCATCCCATCTGAATGAGATCGATCGGCCTGTGGACGTGATCACTTTTGGTTTAATGGTCCAAAGTCCGACCTCCCTTATCCGCAAGATTACCGATGTCGGCAAGCATCATGGGCATGGCAGCCCTGCACACATAAGTAGTCTTTGGCCTCACGCTCCCGCTGGCTTACTACAAGTGCGCAAAATTATGTCTTTGGCGACATGTAGAAAATGCGTATTTCTTTCGAAATCAGATCCTCTAAAAACCGGAATGGTCATTATACCTTTACATTAAAGTTCAATAATTGTGACGTTGTTGATCAATGTGCTCCCCATTTAACCATCACTTTCGACTTTCGTGATCACTATTTTGCATTCCAATCCAAGTTGTCACGTGGGTTAGCGGCAAGATAATTATGCCCGATTCATTAAAGCCTAGTTTGCAATTTACCAGTGCCACTGGCATGGTTTAACTGCCCACTGGCGTATGTGTCACGCCATATTATGTCATGTCATGTCATGTTGAAATGGTATCAAGCCCACAATTTCTATGCGAAAATTCTCAAGGAATTAAGTACTACACTACCTCGATGACGTGAATGCGTCATGAGCAGCCGGCTCATCATTATTTACAACGAACAGACAGGACAATTTCTGGCCCGGCTTAGTTTTGAATGCAGCACACTTTAATCTTGGGCACGGCGTGTTGCCGTTTTCAGCACAGAAGCCGTAACGGGTGCTGATCCTGTGCGTATAGGAATGCTTATCTTGATTCGTCTTTATGGTATAGTATTCATCTCCACGACAACACGCTTAAAGGTTTCTTGCATCTGTCCTGAGATAACCTCTCATGGTGAAATACTCAGCCCTCCAAATCGGTGATGAGGTGCAAATGTGAGTTATTATGCTCCTCTGTTTATCGCACAACGTTGTAAAGTTAGTTAGCTTCATTTTACTACGGAAGTTCGCCATCCTCTAATTTATAATGAACATCACAGGGAGGAGAATATCCATGAACAAACGTGGAAAAACAAAATACCGCTCTGCTTGTTGAAGCCACTCAAGGGAGCCAGTGCGCTACAATCGTCCATCATTCTATATCGTTCGGTAAAACATAGGATGAGAAAAACAAAACATGCGGTAAAGCAAAGCATTTTCGGCAGAACAAGACACGTGGAAAAACATAATACCGTCATGTTTAACTACACGTCGAAGAACCCGTAAAATTCATATAATAGCGTTCATTCAGCGCATGTCGTCCTATCTTATACTCGGTAGTTAAGTTGCTAAAACAAGCGAATGAAAATCCAGGCGAATAATAAGCTCGCTCAATAGTGTACCATTAGCAACAAAACCGAGTGAAAGAAATTCCTTGGCACCGCAGCCCAAAAGTATACGGCATAGTAATATTTTTCCCAAAACTTAAATTCATGATGCGCGAGACGATTCAAATATCGCTGTAAACCAACGCTCGGAGTTCCTGTCACCGCACGCTAGGTGGCGCCAACCGCTGTATGTGACACCAAGCCGTGGGCAGCAAACGATGCGACATAATTTCGCGTATTAAAACGATGTTACCGAGCGCTTCTTAAGCCGTCGTACGAAGATGTCCCGGTCTAAGGTAAAATATGCGGATCAAGCATTGCCCGATTAATTGTCAAGTAGCAGAAACTTTGTTATTGAGTATAAACACATTATACGAGTACGTTGGTTAGTGCTGCTTCAAGCTTTCACTTCTCTAAAACAACTCACGCGCTGGAAACAAAACCATGTGCAGCATGCGACTCAGAATATTGTACCTGGTGTATAAGCTAATACGAATAGCAAGGTCTGCAGTCTGCATCACGGGTGTGTGTGTGGGGGGGGGGGGGTTGGGGTGGCCCTACGCACATATTGCTGCTGGCCGAGCCTGCGTATTCGATGCACCGGCCTGAACAGCAGCTGCTCAGAGACAGGAAACCCGAAACGCTTGTTGGCGGATATCTCACGGCAGCAGTACCTTCGCAGCTGGGCTCTACATATTGCCGAACCTCCAGCTCCAGCAGCAGACGTCCTCGGCCGTGCGGCGCTGGTCCCGCCCTGCTATACGGCGCGTGCCCGGGCACTGCTGCGCTAGCCGCTGCCAGGCTGGCTGATACGCGGCGCTGCCGTCCCCATTCTGTGGGCTGCGCGTCTCCAACTTTCCTGCCGCCGTGCTGCAGAAGCAGGAGGCAGAGACGCGGTATGTGCTGCCTGTCGGATTGCCGAGTGCTGGTTAAGAAGCCCGCTCTCCAGTCTACCGTCTTTCGGTGACTGTCCTGCATCCGGACAGCGGGTGGGCGGAATGGCGCGGCGGCGGCGACGGCGGCGGCCGCCTTGCCGTGGCCTGCTGTTACGATCACCCGCGGCAGACGCGTTTAAAAGGGGAGTTATGAAAACACAAAAATCACGGAATGGCTGAAAAAAGACTCAACGCATCTCGTAATCGTTCATGCATTTTCAGCTTGCATGTTGACCAATTGCGACATAAAGATAGATTCAAGCGATTGTTTAATGAATTTACGTCGAAACGGGAATCCGACCCTTTTCAGGATGTGATCATTTAACAATTACCAGCTCATCTCCAGTGCCGATATTTCTTAGAGCTGGCGCTGGTGAGAATCTGGCGTTGCCTTAGGCTGGCCGTGTTGAAGCCATACACGCCTCTTCTCCCACCTCCACCGAACACGTCTCGGTGACGTGGTCCTCGGTGCGCACGGCCCTCTCCACCGCCTGGGTGTGAACCGGATAGGGCGGGATGGCCAGCGGAGCCTGCACTTTGTCCCGCAGCTCTCTATCACCGATGTCTTGCAGTGGAGGCCGTGTGTTTGGTCCGTGTCAGTAGACCAGTTTGGCGTGAGTCGAAGAAGACCCTAAGTTTGCTGCTAACACGCGGCCCGATGGTCCGAAGAGCCTGTTCGCGGACCACACGGTTCTTGTTCGCCAACATGGCCGGCAGCAGTTGTTCCGGACGGGCCCAGTGCCCGTTGTGTAGGAGGACTGGCTGCACCGAGGACTGTGTGTGCTGCGAAATCTCGCGGAGCAGCATGATGTTCCGGAACAACTTGCGTTAGCCAAAGTGGCTGCTGCTGTCTTGCCGGATGGCGAAACACACTGGGACATAGTGACCAACCTCGTACTGGACGAGATCCTTGAGAACGCTGCTGGAGGCCTCGGTGGAGATGTAAGCTAGGAACAAGGCGAGCAGCCCGTGTCAACCTTCTGAAAGCAAAAGCGAATAGATTAGAACAATTCGTTACGAACTGAACATTAGATGATGTGCGAATTATCGTGCCCCTTTAGCATAAGTTATTATGCCGATATTCAGCGTTCTAAAATTTAACGGAATGCATATCAGAAAATATACTAGTACACATGACTAACGGGGCAAATGACGTTCGGGCTGTTCGATCGTAAATCACAGCGGCGGCACCAATACGGCCGCATATTGTAGTCTCATTGCTCCTTTGCTGAACCTAATCTACTGACGCCGTGTGCCCTGTCCTCCAGTGACACCTCAGACGTGTCCTTCACCCGTGCCCTCGGCCGTGCCCTCCCCTTTGGTGAGGGACTGAGGTCACAGTGATGCCTTTTGACCCCGTCGACAAGTTTCAGGGGTCAGTCAAGCGCGTTCGATTTATTTCCCAACACAGATGCGTTGTCACGCGTTAGGTGGCAATACGTGATTTTAATAAAACCAGAGAGTTTTAGGTTTTTAAAATGGCAGGGCTGTGAACTGCACTGAATGATCTCCAAAATGGCTACTTCAGCCCAGGAGTCCATACACGGGACACTCTGTTCAACCAAGAGGCAAGGCAAAGTATAATTGTGACACGAAACACGTCGAACGAAAAACTGGCACACTGATTAACCTGATGCGTACTTTAAATACAGCCATCCCAGCAGACCCACGATCCGTTTCCCTCCACACGGATTTTTCTACGCGGCACGAGTGATCACTGTTAAGTGTGCTAAAATAGATCTATATCATGATGCATAACGCATTTTTCTTAAACGTGCATTGAACCTTACCATCGAGATGCTCAAAACAGTAGTCAGTTTGCTGGGGGTCAGTAGTTTTCCATCTGTTGATGCAGTGGGCTAAGAACCAGTGTGACTTTGTTGGACAGTAGGACGCCACTGGAACAATCATAGTCGAGCATCTACAGAGTACGAATTCTTCACTTACGCCGGTCACCATTAACTCTTATTATTTGCTTCGCTAGTTAACGGAAGATAGCAATTATGAACAATACTCGCGTTAATAGCAGACGCCAACCCAGATCTATTATCTGTTGGCCCCAATTTTTTTTCTCGCAAATGACAACCAGGTAGGCATTTTGTTTGAATGGGAGCGCAGCAGCATGCCCAGCACTTTTCAGATACCTTCCTTAAGTTGCAGAGACAGACAGGGCGGGGCAGGGCAGATGCCTGTAGTCCCACGTTAAGAAGAAAAGAGTGCAGTACTCCAATGATATTGGATGGGCAGGAAGTATGACATCATGTACACATTGTGTACGTGTCCATGCGTCCAGGTTCTATCAGCACTGCGAATTTGAGTGGTACATTGTAAATGTACGATGCAACGCAAAGTACATAACAAATGTACGATGAACAAATTTAATTCGACAGTGCTTTTTATTAGCACATAGACAATCAGAACAGCGCTTGCTGCGGACATTTTGAACCGGCGGTCCCCATCATGCCATACCGTATCCATAAAACAATCACCATCCAAATTCTGCCAAGCAAGGCAGCCAAGGTTTGCATTCCAGATATGCTTGCCGTAACCCTATTGCCACAACATCAAATGACGCATTCGAACTACTCACATTTGGAAGTTTCCTGTATGGAGGGTAAGACAAGTGGTAAAGCTTGTTGGTGAATTGAATCCGGTCGTCCGTTTATGGCTGAGTTCCATATGATTTGGTTTGTTCACTCATCGAATTTGAGCAAGATTAATGCCGCTGTATGTCCATGGTGTAAGTGGCACGGCAAGGATAAACGTCACCCGACTCGGTTTTTAACTTGGCACTCAACATTTGGTGCTGTTCGATGCGGTCATCGTGATAGAACGTTTAGTCCAATGTCACCCAGTTCAATCTCTTGATCTCCGTGGAGCAGTGTTTATTGCTGCGGACGTCATCTATCAGATCAGCTAATCGTAGCATGTGAAGTCCGGCTGTCAAGTGGAAAAATGAGGGTTGATAAAGGTGTATGAGATCACACGATGACTTCAACAAGGGTGGCTTTTTGGTCTCGTTGTTTAAGGATCAGTATCAGCGTCACCACATCATTCATCAGTTTGCACGACCACCTATGCTATCATCACTTTCATTGTCCCTGGTTCCCATCTCATTAGCAGTAATCGCCGCCGCTGTCGACTATCAGTCTTTTGATTGCACAACATATGTAAGACCGCTAACCGCGAATGGAAGGCAGTCCAACACCTGGCATTAACAAGATGTCCTGGCATAACAACTCAACAAGTGCCGACGGACGCAGCGGACGGGCCGCACGTGCCGGTTGTCCCATGCGTGCCCCTGCGGCGGCGATAAGACTATCGGGCTTGTCCGGGTCCGAGTCAGGGTCTCATGTCCGAGTGCCCTGACACTGGGCGGAGCGGTAAAGCCTGGCGCTGATAGCGGACGTGCCATGAGGTCACGGCTGCTGGGAGTCGGCCGTCTGGCGGTCAGGAGAAGACGGGACGCGGCGCGCCGCGCGCATTGCTGGCACCGCCGGAGGCACAGCCGACACGGACCATGACGAGCTGGTGAGGTCTAGTCTGCCCCGGTCATGACCAGAGAGCTCTGAGTGGGGATTCGCGTTTCGTAATGCGCGTCGCTGCTCCCCATCCCTACTGGAAGATTCGGGGCGGAGCAAACTGTATATTTGAAATAAGCCTGTGCGTTTTGGAGCAATGTCCCCGCAGCACATTTCACGGGACTCCTTCCGCAGCTGTGGTTCTGATTGAGGTTATCTGTTTGTGTTTATTTACGAAGATCAGTTTTGCAATGCCGCGTTGTGAATGTACTCTGTCATGACAGATCATAAAGATTACTATATTATATTGGGGGAGAGCTTATGTACGTTTTATTTAATTGAACTTGCTCGAGATTTGTCGCGAACTAGATATCGAAGCGCGCTCGTATGCAGCATTTGGTCAATGCAGGTACGGTGGCAAGTTCCGTATTGAAGGGGATACTTCCGCGCGGTTGCCTTGAATTTAAACATAAAAGCAGCCGAATTTTGATGATAACTTCCGAACTGCGTGAGGTAAGTCCACTAAATTTCCACACCAGGTAGATAATTAATACGTCACAATTTGAAGGAAAACCGATTTCATTGTCGCGCCAGACCACTTAATTATGACGTCATTAGTGCAGGTTTGTGAGATTACTTTTGACCCTTCATGCGGTCAAGCGCAGTTTCCAGCTTTCCTTGTTTTGGAACGTTTTACAGTTCGTAGACTGCTGTGACTGTTTCCAGTCACGGTCAGTCACACGGTGTAAAGTCCCACCAGGTCACCATCAGGAGTCGCGTTAGGTCAACTTAGCATTATCCTGAAACGGTTCGGTATGGCTGTATGCGATAAATCAATCAGGGTTCCCGACACATTTCGAAACGAATGCTTGTCATGTGTCATGCGGACCGGAAAAATATAAGAAAAAAAGCACGTAAAATGCGGTAATCTAACCTTCAGCTGACGGTACCTGGACTAACGTCAACCTTAACACTTGACTTTTGTCAACACCATGCTAAAAGATCAATGGCGCGAATGCATGAATTTTCGTTTGGCGGAGGTTCCATGGTTACACAAAAGCATTTGCGGCTGCTAGAGTATCACGAGCTGTTCAAAAGACACTTCATTTTTAAATAGTTTGTGTGACTTGAATACAATGACTCACTTGGAAAATGTGAACGTAACAACAGACAGTGGGAAATATTCATCAGCCGTATCAATCGTTTTTTCCTGATCCAACAGTGTACCTTTGCGTTACCAGATAAGCACTCCTTTACACGATATTTCATGCAGCGAATTGTGCCGGACTTATGTGCAGGCAGTAAATTTGTCCAAAGGATTCCGAACATAGGGGGCCAATTTTGCTTTGTAATTTTATTTGCTTTGTATTTCGGGACCGTCCGTTCAACCGTAAGCTGTTCGCGACATAGCCAGGTTTTAAAAAGCCAGTGCACAGCGAGGCCAGCACAGAGGTAAAAAAAAATGGCCTAAAACTACCTGGTTTAAAAGTTCACGGACCTTACAACTTGGGCTTAAGAGTATTCTTATCACACTTTATGACATGTTCCAAAGCAGAGCAGCCCGACGGGCCCCGACTGTGTGTAGGGCTTCCCATTGAAGATTGAAAAACACTGTGGAACACACAGACATCCTCTGCTCCGAGTCTCGCGGCGTATTGAATTATTCATATATTCGCGTCGTATATCATTCATAGTTTATATGTATTCACGTAATCCCTATTCCCTGCATCCTCCAGCTCAACATCTGCCTGGTTGGTGGCCGCGGTGCTGCTTGCAGCACTAGCGCCATCTCTAGCCGGTGAATGGTGTGAGAACTTCGAGAACGGGCCGGGGTCGTTCTGGACGCAGCCATCATCGCAAGGTGGCAAATGGGAACACACCGGGTACGCCAGCGAGAACAAACAGGGCCATGAGGTACCGCGGCCTTCTACCGGAGAGGTGAGCTCGAAGGTTCTCTTCTCTCTATGTTAGATAATGATAGGAGTTCCATCTCTCTTTGTTCCGTTTTCTCATGACATTTAGTGCGAACAGTTTGGTTGTGTGTCATTGGGGCTTTACGACGCGCTCAGCTGCTGAGGCTATATGGCGTCGCCTGCCTCTCACCCTGGCAGGGAGGGCGGGCACCGCGGGGAATCGAACCCCGTACCTCTGGTTTCCCAGACGCGCAGCGGTTAACGCAGACGCGTTAACCACTACACTACCGGCACCCCAACAGTTTGGTTGTATGGTGTTCTGAGATCAGCATGCACGGTGTACACGTTGATCAGCAGCTGTTGCGTGAGTCCTGCGCCCACCACATGATCAGGAAATTTATTTTCCTCAGCAAGACCTCACGGCGAAGCTTAGCGTGCTGCACTGCTTGGCACGTCTGTCCTGCTTTTTAACGGCGCCTGACCCTTAGGCGGGCGCTGCCACTGGTCACTTCGCTGCTGATCTGCGCATGCGCATGTCGGGCACGACGTTATTAGCGGTGACGCACCTTCAACGCAGGAGACGCTCCCCAGGGCAGAGCGAGGCTTCACACATCCTTGGGGTCCCACAGGCGAAGATATCCTGGTGCTTTACAGATAATTGGGAACGAGCCAAGCTATATGGCCAGAACCGCCTGGCCCAAAATCATTGTGACGCGTGTGCCGTGCTAGTCACATGCTTTGGATGTCCAATAGCGTCCCTACGTGCTTCAGTGACGTGACGTAGTGACATAAAATCACCTATTTACGAGTCACAGTCTAGACAGATAACTGGGCCTTAGTGACACCGTGGACGTGGCCTGTGTGTTCGGGCAGAGGAAAAGCAAGGCCCATGAGACACACGGCGATGATGGAAACCGCGGAAAAAAATGGATGCGGCTTAGCAAAATGGCACACGAGAGCAAGGAATATCGACGGAAGTTTTCAATCTTCAGTCAACACGGACGCCATGGCCAAGACAAGATGAGCAATCTGTGTATTTAAAAAGGCAATGACGAAGGAGCCTAGGCAGCCGGAGAACCAAAAGCAGAACTTATGAGCAGCATGGAGAAAGACATGATCATTGTGAAGAAACTGTGGAAGATTTGTCTGAAGAGTTCCAGTCGTTACAAAAGCGAGTAGAAGAGCGATACAGAATATTCCACGATACTCCACGAAGGACGGCGATACTACGGAGGTTGTCAGCAGAGAAAAAGGCAGAAATATTAAAAGTCAGACCATGGATTCTGCGAAGTCAATTTCTAGTGAATCATTCAATCTGATGCAACAACGGGGAGTTGGACGAAGCCATACCTCTCTGAAATACTTTCTTAGGCAGGACAACAACTGAATGAACAAAGTTTATTGACCTAAGTTCAGTTATGAAGGCTAGACCAGATCTAGGGCTTGCTGTACGGAGTAGTTTCTGGTGTTCATTTATAATTTATTGATGACAGGGACCGCATCATACCTGTTCCATAGACTTCTCAACGGTCAGAATAAATCACTGACCTAAAATGACCCAGATCAACATTGTGTTTTCAGGAACATACGGCCTAGCGTAATCTGTGTCGCTAATCCAACTGTAAAGCTCAAAGCGGTCTTGTATGCTTTTTGTCACCATGACCTTCAGACGGTCAAAGTAGGTCTCTGACCTAAATGAGCATGTGGCCCTTTGCTTAGAGCAGGTATCCAGGTTTTGGGGTCACTTTGGAGACCAACATGGAGATTGACCTTTTTGACCTTGTTTAATCTGAAGGTCATGACCTACGAACCTCAAACTTTAACCTAAGTCAGTTCAGGCACAGGCCAACACATCCTGTAAATTTAAATTTGGTGCTCTAGCCATCTTAGTTTCTGATACCTCAGGGGACGGTCAACTTGACCCGCCACCCAAGCAAAGAGTATCCAACCAGCCAGCCGAGCGTGCGTTAGAAGGGGGATGTTTCGAAACCAAGTGAAGCAAACATCAAATTGAACCCAACGAAACGATGTTTCAGCAGGTATGGATCAAGGTTGTTATTTCCGAAACAAACGTGCTAGGCATGTCCTGCAGGTGGGTGCTTAGTATTTAATTGCCCGGCAAAGTCTATGCTTCCAGGCATCATTGTAGAGGCCGTATTAATCCACGACGGACTTTCAGTTCGGACATGCACGCCACCGTCATATTTCACCTGACGTGTACCCTATCGTAACGTGCTTGCCCGGCTGCACTGACCGCGTGTCCATGTCCTCGCCTGACGACCTGGGCCCTGCGACGGCGCGCCCTTCTCACGCCCTGTGCCGTGCCATGCAGGACGGCATTCTGTTGCTGAAGCCGCACGCCCACGGCCTCGTGGTTTGGTCTATGCTGGTGTCTCCGCCAATGCGCTTCAAGGCGGGGGCCACCATCGAGCTGGATTACTGGCTCTGGTTCAACCGCTCCCAGCCGAACACGCCAGTCAGCTTCATGCTGTTCAGGTGGGGCCTCAACTGAGAAAGAGCGTAAATGAATGCCGAACAGCGTCTTCAGGTGATCGTATTTCACTTGTGGGGTGGGGTGCGGTGGGACACCGCAGAGAGAGAGGGAGAGAGAGAGAGGGAGAAAGAGAGAGAGGGAGAGAGAGAGGGGGGGGGGGAGAGAGAGAGAGAGAGAGAGAGAGAGAGAGAGAGAGAGAGAGAGAGAGAGAGAGAGAGAGAGGAGAGAGAGAGAGAGAGCGAGAGAGAGAGAGAGAGAGGGAGGTGTTTGGACCATTCGTTGCAGTGGCCATGGTGACCCTGACTGGGGGTGGTTGAGCGTTTGAGAGGTGCAGCCTCGGGGACTTTCAGTGAGTCCCTTTAGTTTGTCACCATGCCGTACCGCATGTCGTACCGCATGCACGCAAGCCCTTCCTGCGGTCTTCGCAGACGTGTGGAGGGGATCGAGGATAAGGAGGCTTTCCTCAACATCTCCTCCTACGCCAATGTGTACCAGAGTCATTGGGCGAGTATAGAGGCTGGCCTGGACCTGAGCAGGGGAAACACATTCCAGGTGAGAAAAGTCCGAGAGAGCCGGAGGGCCAGGGGAATGGAGAGTTAAAAAGAGAATAGAAGCGTAGATGGGAGCGCACACGAACATGAAAGCGAGAGGAAACTCATAACTACCTCAAGCTCCGGATGCCGAGCGTGCACAGCATTGTTCCGTGTCTGCGGGCGCGCGTTGGAGGCTGACCTGAACCCCGCGAACAGGTCGCCGTCTACGGCTACATGGCTGGCGACGGGCCGGTCATGTCGAGCGACATCGGTCTGGACCGCATCATCCTCAGAGGTGTCGACGGAGACAACCCTTGCGGCGGTAACACCACTGTCGCGCCAGCCCCGCCGCCCGCCCCCACTTCACCTATGCCGCCCAAACCTACCGGTAAGTCGACTTGATCGTACATGCACGCTTTTCACGCACGATCACGCATGCTCGTTAAATCAGGTGGCATTGATAGACATGACTTGAGCATCAGGAATGCTCACTGGTGTGTTTCAAGTGCCACGTGGGGTTTTTGGCAGCGCCGCGTTTCGTGGGTGTGGTAGGCGGGGACCAACCCGGCCACGTTGGCTTAGTGGGGTGGGGGGGGGGGGCAGCTCTGCCACGTAGATGGCTAAATGGGGTGGGGGAGGGGGGGGGGAGGGCACCGGCTCCGCCACGTGGATGGCTAACTAGGGGGACCAGCTCTGCCACGTGCCTGGCTAACTAGGGGAGGGCGCCAGCTCTGCTACGCGAATGTCGGACGGGCAACAGTGGTGTAATGGGTTCGGAGCCGGGCACTCGCAAGGAGCCAAAACACAGCTAATGACTGTCCGCGAGTAAAATTAACACTTTCGGGGGCTTCAATCCGTTGTTCGGTAATAATTCAACGGTAAACTGGACACTAAAATCAAAACTTTGATCAGGTTCATTATGGATGACAATACCTCCATCCTCTCTCTCGCGGGGTCTGAAATTTCGTCGGTGCGGCTGGCGGTTTCACGTGCCTGCCCTTCGCTTTGTGGGGCGGAAAGCAATGACTGCACGAGATAGGTGTATTTTTATGTGTATGTGAATTGACACAAAATTACACATCGACCTGCTCCTGACGCATTTGAGTCAGCAGATGCCTTTCCAGAGCGCTTGAACTCAGGTTGCGCAGTCACTTTTTCAAGCGTTGATCATTTCCATGTGGAGTGTGCGATCCCGATGACTCCCGTACTCGTACAGGTATGCATGTGATGTAAGGTAACTGAAACCAAAAACTGGTTTCCAGCTAGAGTCGAAGTATCGCTGGTGATGCATTGACACATATGTCATTGTGATGTACGAATGACAGATGAAGTTATTACATGTGGTTTTATGCTAAGACTGGCAGCGTTCGTTTCCAACATTGAAAAGGGGAAGGAGGTCCGTGCACTTCTCTGCCTCAGAATGTCAGAGCAAAAACCAACTTCTTTTCTCTGCTCCTACTGATCTTGATCCAACGTGTCCGCAGGAACCCCGAAGTACGATTTCTTCTGTCCGACCGCGTACGGCCTGTACATCGATCCGGACAACTGCCACTTCTTCTACCAGTGCTTTGACTGGAACGCTGAGCACTTCGAATGCCCAGCGGATCTTGTCTTCAATCCGATCGCCAAAGATTGCGACTATCGTAAAAACGTGGTGGGCTGCTGATGAAGACCGAGCGCTGACCCACGTCTAGAAATCGTGCTCTTGTTGCGCGGCACCGTTCCCGACCGTTGATTTATAACTTTTTAGTTTAACTGTGGTCGCGTGTCTACTGGGTTCTTCCTACAACCCTCGGTAATTTTATGGCGCTGACTCCGTTGAGACGTGCGGCTCAACGTGACGCACGGCTCGCAGCCATGTGTTCACGGCATGCTGGAGTTGACTAGAAAATAGCTGACCCGTGTACTACCCGTGTACTGTTGCTCTGGAGTCGGCTTTTGATCGAGTCACTCATCTGATCAAGTGCTCTGCTTAGAGCCGAGCATGTGTTAGCTGACTCCGAGTCAGCGGCCCGCTGAGTTGGCGCTGATCTGCTGAGATTGACGGTCCAGTCCTCCTTGGGTCAAGGGCTGCGGTGAGACTTGCTGGGGGCTGAGTGAGGAACCTTAATCGTGTGTACTGGTCAGTATTTCCCACGCGCCAAATGCCTTCTTGTTCTTACACTTGTCACATCAGGCAACGTTCGATTGCAAAGTGGAAATATGGACCTTTTATTTCTTTGGGGAAGGGGAAAATGCGTCCCTAATGACTGACCCCTGCCATACAAAAATAAAACCGCCTGAAACGATATGAAACGATGGATCAGAGACAGAGATGTGTTCCTATAAGACCGCAAAGTTGCAGTTTTGCTAAGGCAGATCGTAGTGAAGAAGCAACAACAGCCTGGTTATGCTATCCTTACTTTGCCAGAAGACAATCTTCAAATCGCTTAAATTATCACTTTGGTGCACATGGGCTTATGAGAGCAACGCTACGCTATGCTGACAACGAACGAAAACGGCAACGAAAACATCTCGCTACTGTTATCGCCAATCCAGCTCATGATTCCACCGGCAACTGCGGTTATTTTGCGCTCACAGTCCAGCACCTAATATGGGCATTGCGATGATGATTCTGGCAGTGACGCTATATCCAGCCGATGGGATGTTCGCGGCTAGAGTTTGCCGTGGGCAGGATAGCTACGGTATCGTATCTTGTATCTTGTATCGCATCTAGATACACACGTTTCCAACATTACGGCGGAAAACAGGAGCAGGAGAGGCAATGCTACAGTTGCTTTTAACGTTTGATTGAACGTTATGCTGTTTTACTTTACTTTGCTGCTGGTTTTGGGAACAGCTTTTTAGTCTGTCTTGAGAGGCTCTGCCCTTTTACAGTCTGTCCAGCTGAAATTCAAAGCTCGGGGCTATTCATGGAACATGTGAATTGCCTTCATGTCCCATGATATTCAGAGCGTAATGTAGGCGGTGATGACTGGCCACCGCTGCCACTCTCCTCTGCTTTCTGCAGAAAATGATGACTGCCGAACATTGTGACGAAAGTCGCTGTCGTGAGCGATTTCGATATCTTTCCATTAGTTTTTGGGACAATACAATTTATCAGGCAGATGCTCACAGTGTTGCTCCATTTCGTGTGCATCACTCTGCGTGTGGCGAGACAATAATTGCATTGCATTCTCAAAAACATTGGTAAAGTACTGACTGACCATTTTCCTTTTGTGTGATTGAAGCACGGGCCCAAATTCGATGACATCTTCACCTAACTTACTGATGCAACATCGCACCTTTGTCTCTCAGTATCTCTTCATGCCCGTGCGGACATACCTTTGACTCTAAAGGAATGTGAATCGAAATTTGCGATGTAAAGTTATCTCTCGTTTATCTGTACATCGCTCCCAATACACCTTTTATGCCCATCTGCCAGAAAGAATCCGCGCCGAATGCGCTCATCCAGGCACAGAGCAACTAAGGGCAACCACCAAAGCACTGGAACTACAGGAAACGGTTTCTTCACAATAATCTTACAAGGTCATGAAGAGAGGTAATGCCCTCAAGTTGACACAGACATAATCGTCGTAAGTCACTGTTTCCGAGCACACACGTCACTTACGCTAGCCATTAGTTACGCTGGCCTTATTTGTTCAGGCCGCCATCGCCATCATATGCCAAATACGACATATACGGACAAATACGGAATATGGAAAATTCTACAAAATACGGAAGACGGACATCAAAAAATAGCAAATACGGCTCTCAGTTCTTATGGGTGGAGGGTAAAAGTCCGAGGTGACATTCTGAATCGGCACAAAGAGATGCGCAACGTGACTTCAAGACCATAATTTTCTGACAAACTGTTCATAACTGGTATGCGTGGATTGACTATGATTTAACGCCTCGGGTAATCTGCTTAATTCATTTGTTCAATGCGCTGTCTCCATAGCCCCGAGACGCACATCACGGAATACAACATGCAGCTATCACGCAGTGCTCTCAAACTCTTAGTCATCACGCTTTACACGAGCACACTATACAAAACAGACAAAAAGACTTTCTCACACAACTCAGGCAGCGATGTAGCCTGACGGTCGACCTAGCAGTAAGCGCTTAAGGGGAATGCTTCACGTTTGAGGATATTGAAGCAAGCATCAGACATGATCAAAAAAGCTCACTTCTAACTATCGATACACTTCTAAAGAAGAAAAATTGCTCTAAACAGCACAACTTTCTGTTTAATAAGTACGCTCCCTAATGCGTCATGGTTTGATTATATCATCGTACCTTGCACAGTATACAACGCCGTTATATCTGGAAACGGTGCTCACAAACACCAAATATGAACTCGTCGACAAATATATTTGTCCTTGCCAGGATCGCCGCAGGGCATATGGAATGGCAGTATTTAAATGACGTTATTGTGACGTCATGAATTCCAATGCGACTTTGAGATACTCTTTTTCCGAAATGCTATCTCTATTTTCGCGAGCATGTAGCTCAGAAACTTGAGAGGCCTGGGTGTTAAGAAGGGTATGGATGCGAAAAGCACCGAAAGGTCTTCAAGGTGTCTAGTTTAGTTCAAAACCCCACATCAATGTGGAGCACTGCTATTAACGGCGCGCACAAACGCCTGCTGCCACCTAACCTAACCTAACCTAACCTAACTTAACCTAACCTAACCTAACCTAACCTAACCTAACCTAACCTAACCTAACCTAACCTAACCTAACCTAACCTAACCTAACCTAACCTAACCTAACCTAACCTAACCTAAACCACTAACCTAACCTAACCTAACCCGTGGGCTCGAGCGGCGGGTCAGGCATGGCGCCATGTCGGGTGACCATCAGTCAGGCGCTCGGAGATCGGGCTGCGACAGATGCGCCCTAGCCAAAATCAGCCCATAATCTGCGATGGGATGTGAGGACATGCGGATGGCGCCATCTCCTTGGCCGCCTGGGCAGAATCTCATCGAGGCTCTGATACATTATGCGAGGACTTCCGGTCTTCAATGCATCGCAACGCAAATGGCAGCACATGTAAATGAATGCGATCTAACACCCTATTCACCACGGAGCGTTCGCAGATATGTGTCAATTGAATGGCTTTGGTCATCTCGAAGGGTAAAAAGTGGCAAAAGCGAACCCAAACCCGCTTCGCGCATTGCCTACTTATTCGCGTACGCTACCACGCATAATTTGTGTCCGGATACCCTCAAGATCAGTGAGCTAGACACGTTTGAGGCAGAGTGGAAGTGAAAAATTTAACCGCAAAAAGACGGCACAGGAGTGAATTATTCAATGTACGAAAGCTGGAGCCTACGTGTCAGTGAGAGATGCTCCGGCAAATGAAGACATACATTTCAAGTTGGGACGGAAGTAACATAAAAAACATGACAAAAAAGTTTTTCACATCTTAGGTCATTACACTGAAACAGAATACATTACAGAATAGTAATTTCATATCAGTATGATGAGCAGCAAAATCCATGTAACACCGATGTTTTGACGCCGTGCTTTGCACTTGCACGCCGTTGTCATTTTTCCTCACCTTTTTGTCACCTTTTTTGCACACCTTTCCCAGCATTTGTTCGGCGCAAAACAGAGCAAAGGAGTTGAGAAACAAAAGCAGTAAAAACTCAACAAGCATAAAACATTTAAACGAAAGAAGCCATGGATTCCTGCACATGAACACATCACCAAGTCCAACAAACAACTGACATACTTTTGGCGTCTGCTCAGATGGGGACAGGAAATACACATTATGCCGTTATTTCTTGCAAAAATCCTATGCTCACTTCCATAAAAGTAACCTAACTAAGCCTAACCTTAAAAAGCCTTGCCTCACCTCATTCTGTCTAACCTATGTGTGACACAGCAGCATTTGTGAGTCACTGATTCCGGAAAAACTCCGACTCTAAACTACCATTCACGTGACCAACTTAACCAAACTTAGAGAAGCCCATGTGGAACATCATATTAGCCAACCTCATATGCTTCTTGAAAGCAGCAGTTGTGATGAAAAGCACGAAAAAAAACTTATTTTTGGCTGGTTTCAGCTTCTGTTTTGGGTAAGTTCCTTTGTGTCTGCTGGTAGACACCAGACAAAGTTGGGCACAAATAACTCAAAATCCAGGAGTCTACTAAGAGAACATAAATACCCATTGCCTATTTAAATCACTTTGGACATCCTATTCCGATTGTCGTGGTTAGCCTCTGTCAAGGGTAATAGTGGGTACGCTCCATAAAACAATATCTCTTTTCCAAACATAGCAACTTACGGATGGCCACAACGCTAGTTTGCCTGCTTGCCTTCTCAGCTGCAGGAAAGGCATCAAGTTAAGTTTGGTCATTAATATTTAATGACATAAAATTTACAAATTCTGCTTTACATTAAAAATGGGATGGGCTGACTATTTGCTGAACACCTATATCTACCTGATATCGTAATTGCAATGCAGCTCGGGGTATTTCTGTGTTTTAAAAAAAATGCAGTGCATATCCACAGTACAGTCAACTGCCCGTCAGCAAGTCATGGAAACTATGGGCAATATCTTGTTGAAGCAGATATGAACTACCATGTCAACAAATTTGGTGCAAATGATCAGGAGTAAGATACAAAACAAGTTAATTACATGTACTGTGGCATCAAAATTGTCTCCTGAACAAAATTATACGGATATAAAACTGAGAATGGCCAAACCTGGTAGTAACTCTTGTTTTGAATGCAGACAACGTGAGCAATTAGGTGCCCTCAGGAAAAGGTTACTGGCTTTTTAAGGGCAGACATTTCTGCTCCCGCAAACAAAGTTAGTATCTTTCGCATGGTTGGCGGACAGACAGGGTCATCCAACCCACTATCAAAATATTAAATCAGTTCTACCCACCAACATACAAGAAAAAAGTGAAATAAGTAAGACGAACTCTGTATGACAAAACAGCTTTGAAGGTAAAAATTTCGCTACCAAACACTTCTGTATTAGTTGCGCCAGGTCTGCACAAAACCCATGTATGGTGCAGTAATGTACGGAGGCAATTTAAAGTAATTAGATAGTGAAAGTGGAAACGCTTATATTTATCCTTATTGAGACACGCCGTGAACCAAAAAAGGTTAACTAGGGGCTCAAAAAGACCGAAATGGAGGGGAAAATATTACACTTTCGTCAAATTGTCGCCTTCATTTCTTATAAATTGTTTACTTTCGGGTGCATATCAACCATGTTTAAGCAGCTGGTGAACTAATACAAATTATGTACAAGATATGGGAAGTTTGCAGTTAGAAAATGTTAAAGAGAAATTGCTTAATATTTTGATCAAAGATGGTATCTTTAAAGATAGAAGAAAGCAAGAAAAATGAATTTGTATCAGATCTGTATGAAACGAAGAAAAACAAAAAAAAACATGAAGTAGACATAAGGTCTTAGGGCTTTTGTACAAATTTTAAATCAAATCATTTGGCGAAGAAATCCGTAAAAATGATGTGAAACTGAGTGCTAAAATGATAACGTTGAGCTTTAGGACTTAATTTAGAGGGCATGTCTTGAAATTTCACTCCTACATTTCGGGGTGGTGCAATTCGGGGTGGTCAA